CGTCTTGCTTATAGTAGGTACGTTGTTTGAAGCTTATATCGAACAAAAATTTAGAATATTTGTTAGATTAACTAAGTCATTAGTCGAGTTACTGACCTCAGTGTCTTGGCCTTTCATCGTCGATTTGCGGAAGATTCTTCTTCCTGCTGCTAAACAATTCATTTTTCGGATACTTAAAAATGCAATGTGTAACCTTTTGTCTTTTTGTGTAGTTTGTTTTTTTCTCAGAATTTAACCTTATTTACAGTTTTGCTGTTTAAGAAAACAGCAAAACTAGAGTTGCAAATCAGAGGTATTTACAAAAAAAACCTGATAATTTTGTTAATGTTTATTTGTAGTCTATTCGAGTAGTACCAGACCAAATGTATTGGAAGCCTTTTGAGGTAAATATTTGTGTTTAGAAGTTAATGATTACATTCTTAAACACTATCTCGCTACTCAGTCTGGACCTGGTGGAACCGTTGGTATATATATACTAATCTAAGTAATCTAAATAATAAATCAGATCTGAATAGATGTCTATTCTATTGATAGCGTGTGTTTGCCTACAGAAATCTTATCAAGCTGACTAATTATATTATTATTTTCATTTATTCCTAATAATAAAGAGGCCATCGATTCTAGCGATTACCAATCAGTTTTTCTCAAACATTTATAGAGAACGCGGACTGTGTCCACGAATGTTCAATGTTCACGGCTGGCATCAAACGATGGAGGACCTTTAAAATATTTACATTTATTTAAATTACAGTCAATTGTTCAAAACTTAAAATTCGGTGATGGAGATTAGTATTGCGATTGCCAGAGCCTCTCGTGACATAAATGTCATCGTTTTGATATAAAAAATATTTATTTGAATATCTATTAAGTGGTTCTAACAAAAACAGGCCGAATCCATTATGTATTCCGTAATTTCCGTTTTAAGACAAGCAAATAAAACCATTTGAAGTTATTTGCTTACTCGTGAATCATAATACTGTTTCGAGACAGTCTCGTACTGTTTTTGTTATCGGATCGTGTGGAATGCGACATTGAGGTAAATAATATGTTGATAATGTAACTCATAAAAACGCATACAAACAGATAAGGAGAGAACTCGTCGATATAATTAATAGAGTTGATGTGCATCAAAATATGTATCTCGCCGGATCTTCTCAGTGGGTCGCGTTTCCGAACCGTTAGCAGATGTATTCGCGAAGCAGTTGCCCTTGAGCTGTTAGGACTCCTTCGAAGGCACTCGGGCAACTGTTAGTACATCCCTGTTAGTACCCCTCCTGGCTGAGACCGTGCTCGCCCACTTGTCCTGGTGAAACTGGAAAGGACTTCAGGTCACCAGTAATCTTTCCTTCGTAAAAACAACAATGTATTTCTTAAATATATTATTTTCGAAGTATATTAGTAACACTTAAAACTCGGTAGTGGTGAGGTTATAACAACTACACCGATGATAAATTAACTCAAACAATCATAACATGAAACTTCCTAACATTAATTTGATCATATTTGTAATATACATACTGTTTTAAAAAAAACCAATATCAACATTTTTATGCAAATATAATTTTCGCGGTCATAATACGATACTGCGTAAATTTGTGACATATTTTTAGTATTCTCGTCAGATTTTTGCGAGTTGTGAGCATCAACTAAAAACTTACTGGTAGTAGGACCTCTTGTGAGTCCGTGCGGGTAGGTACCACCACCCTGCCTATTTCTGTCGTGAAGCAGTAATGCGTTTCGGTTTGAAGGGTGGGACAGTCGTTGTAACTAACTATATTTGAGACCTTAGAACTTATATTGCAATTAAGTATTATAGCGCATTTAAGTCGTAGATGTCTATGGGCTCCAGTAACCACTTAACACCAGATGGGCTGTGAGCTCGTCCACACATCTAAGCAATGAATTAAAAAACTTAAACAAAAAAAAAACTAGGTAATTTTATGGTTTTATCACGCGTTTATTAATTTCATATTATTATTATTTCCGAACTGGTCACGGACGGTTAAGGTGTTGGACTTCGACAAATGTCAATATTTTGGATAGGCGGTAGTTAGCGTAATATGTTTCTTGTTTATAACGTGAAAGTAAATTTCATTTCTGCTATGAATATTTAGAAACGGTCAAGTGTTACACATTCTTTATCATTTTTATCATGCCTGTTACTATTTTAGTAAAAATTTGGTTGATTGAATGGTCCATTGTTCTTAACGTTATATATAATGATATACAACTCAACTCAACTGACAATTAATTTGATAAAGCTAAAAATATAAATCCACATTTACAACTGCGCCAGAATTAGGAATATTAATTGCGTTTTATCAACAAGAGACAGATTTTAGTAGAAAAAGCTTAAGAACGTATATAACACTCAGTAAACTTACTCATAAATATTTTTAATATTAATATAATATGACATAATAACGTTTTATAGAATTGTTAGAATAAGGATGCAAATTACTTTCGATTTGGTCACTTTGATCTGCTGTTTTTATATTTATTTCTGTGGAACATCCATCGGACTTAGCAGTTGACGCGAATTGATTCACTAGTGATGAAACAGAATATTGTTCTAATTGACTTTATTATCGTTCTATTAGCAATCATTAACAGCCGGATAAAATGTTGAGCGACACAGCGATTATCATTTGAGGGGTGTACATTTAGAATTTCTACATGTTCAAGTTTATATGATAGAGAGTCTTAAAGTTTAATTTTATAATTTAAATTAAATGAATTATAAAACTACACTAGGTTTGCCTTCCTAATACTTCTTTCCTTTTGCGGGCCCACTGAAAGAGATTTCAACATGAAATAACTAGTGCCCTTGTACTCTGTATCCTTATTGTCGTGTTTCTTCTAACAGCTGTGTGTACAAAATATGTTAAATAAATATATATTTTTTATTTTTTTTATTTAGTAATATTTAAAATATTTTACGAATTCTTTTTTAATGTAACGCTTCTTACTTATTTATTTACTATTTCATTCGGGAACTAAGGAACTTTTCATTCTGATGACGAACATAGTCGAAACCTAAAAATGATAATATGCAATGCGCTTTATGAGTTCGCCATCATGTAATGCGGTCATGTGAAAGACACAGCGAGCCTCTCTATTATCCACCCAATATAAAACGCTATATTAATCTACAGCTTATCTAGATGCTTCTTTTTTGCTATTTGGATACAGCGCGTTTCACTATTTTCTGTCTCTTATAATCGTTTGGTTACATTTGGCAGTGGGCCACACATTCGCAAGTTCAGTGATCTATAGGTCTCCTCCTGTGAACCCCGGTACCTTTCACATTTCCTAGCAGAAGTCGCTTGGTTGAACCACTTTGTGGCGAAAAATGCTCCAAAAACGCCAATATCGTTGTTGTAAGACAGAAAAATGCTCCTTAACGCCTGATTTATTGGATATTGGAGACGAATTTTAGGGTGACTTACCATATTTGGCCATTACCATTCATCAGATACAAAATATGTGGTGGTCCACCGACGACGAAGCTGGTTCATTTTCAATCACGATTCGCATAATCTATAACGCTTGCGTGTTGCATATAAAATGATGTACGAACGAAATATAGGAAGCAGCACCCCTATTCAGTTCACACATCGAATGCATACGGCAAGAACGTACCAGAAATATAAATGATGCACCAACTAATCAAGAACTTTATTTGCTTATGTGTTTGACTAAAATTCTATTGTGGTTTATGTACAAATCGCGGACGATCACAGGTCCGCTGATTTTGGTCGTTCTAATGTTATTTCTGTTTTAAGAGATATGTGGGTGTTTATACGTATCATTATTGCTCATACAAGTATTCCTGATCTCAATTCGTCATTGCGAATGTTGGCAAGTCCCGCGTAAACAGTTTTCTTTTTGTGCAACGTAAGTGAATATTGCGTTTTCACGTACATATTTAGAGATTATATGTAAATCTTTGGGAAGGATATGTATTTATATCATTCACGGTTATTCCAAATTTAGAATCACTACATAGTATAAAACAAAGTCGCTTTCTCTGTCCCTATATCTGTCTGTCCCTATGTATGCTTAAATCTTTAAAACTACGCAACGGATTTTGATGCGGTTTTTTTTAATAGATAGAGTGATTGAAGAGGAAGGTTTATATGTATAATAACATCCATTAAATAGTGGAGAAATACTGTTATTTTTGAGGTTTCTAATGTGATGTCGTAAATAATTAACAATAAAATTTCATGTTTCCGAAGCGAAGCGAGGGCGGGTCGCTAGTAAGTAATAAGAAAAAGTGCACCTGAAAAACGCCCTTTGCGAAACGGCTTTCAAATTTTCGTGCAGGTTTCTTATATATCTTCTACTTATCATCAGCAGTCTATAGCAGTACACCGCTGGACATAGGCCTTTTCAATTGCACGCAATTGAGCACGATTTTCGGTTTCTCTCATCCAACTTTTGCCAGCCACCCTACTACATAGGTTGTCACTTCACCGAGCCTGAGAATGTCCCGCATTTCTATTTATAGACAGTTACATTTCATAACATAACATGCACCAGTTAAGCGGGCTCCAATCACCGTGTCACATCACCGCGACACATTGGTATGTCGCAAGCCCCTATCAAGTGTATCGCGAGATTTACAGAGACTATATTTTTTGTCTAAAGTGAGCCGGGGGAATTGCATCTCCAATTACACGTATCTTCAATTCATAATTTTGCATGTAAGGCTGCTGCGATGGTATCAAGGATCTAACGGAGCGCCGCTCAGTAAAAAAGGTTGAGAGCCACTGCCCTATTAGAATTTCAATTTATATATTACAATTTTGGTACCTACCTTCAAGAATATTACTATTGTCTTTGTTCGATATCTAGTGTAGTATAATCTAATGTTCTAATGTCAAGTTTTCCCTACACTTAATACCCCCTTTAGTGAATAAACACTACAAGCATAATGTCATACAAAATGCATTTAATTTGATCTGTAATTAACGATGCTTATTGAATTGTTTCAGGTTAATTAATTCGTAATGGTGATGGAAGCAGATCCGATAGCCGAAAAACGAAATGACGGTAAGATGGACGCGTATATGTCTCTTATTATACCTAGTATAAACGTTTATTACGAAATTCAATACATTTTTTCTAGTTTTTTAGCCTCCGTGGACTGATAAGCACATAGTTCTCCGTATATTAAATCGTTACTTGAGTTATGTAGTTTTTTTTTTCTTCTTTTGGCAATAGCGTTTACTTTTTGTCAATGACGTAAATTAAAAGATTGGGAAACTAACTTAAAAAAAGGATACGAAACACGGGAAACGATCAGATACGTAGGAAGAAGTTTGAAACGGATAATAAAAATATCATAAATATACATATATACACTTACAAATCAAATATTTAAATGGTTCTGAAGGATGAAAGATGACAATATTTTATAAAATATACATAGATACATAATTATACAGGATATACAGATAGGAAAAGGAACATTAAGAGATATTAGATCATTCAGGAATGAGGAGCGGTCGTATAGAGGACATGAAAAGAAAATGTGATCTAGATCACATTTATCGGATTCACATTCACATATTCCAGTAGATACAATGCCTAATCTATTAAGATGAACAGCATTGCAAACATGACCCAAACGCATTCTTATGATAGAAGAACATACTAGCTTATTGCATTTCCGAGAGGGCCGCTCAACGGTAGACGCGATCCTTCGCGTGCGGGCCCTCTCGGAGGAGGCCGTCTCCAGGGGTGGGGTGGCTTTGGCGGTGTCGCTCGATATCGCCAATGCGTTTAACACCCTGCCCTGGTCCGTGATAGGGGGGGCGCTGGAACGACATAGAGTGCCCCCCTACCTTCGCCGGCTGGTGGGTTCCTACTTAGAGGNAACTTTAATATGGTTCTGAAGGATGAAAGATGACAATATTTTATAAAATATACATGGATACATAATTATACAGGATATACAGGTAGGAAAAGGAACATTAAGAGATATTAGATCATTCAGGAATGAGGAGCGGTCGTATAGAGGACATGAAAAGAAAATGTGATCTAGATCACATTTATCGGATTCACATTCACATATGCCAGTAGATACAATGCCTAATCTATTAAGATGAACAGCAGTGCAAACATGACCCAAACGCATTCTTATGATGGAAGAACATACTAGCTTATTGCATTTGGCACGAAAAAACCATGGTTGTGCGGTGTTAGAGTACGGGAAGTTAAATAGGGTTGTAAATGTTTTTCGATAAGTCCACGTTCTTATCGATAATCCCTTATACTATTATCATGCGATTCTGACCTGATATTATACAATCATTAAATAGGTAGGTACCTCAAAGCGATTTAACAGAAGGCCCTAAACGACGAATTTTTCGGGTGTTATGGAAAACAAACGAATAAAAGATTAGCTTAGATTAGCTTCCAAATGTATATATATATATATATATATATCTTTAATAAAAATCGCCACATTCCTACTTCGTTCCGGCAATTGCAAACGAACCCTATGTGTCAATTTCGCAAGTCAGGTTCGCTAATCACAACGACTTTAGCAACAATGTACCCACGGAATGGTGTTTTCCATCTACCGTCAAATCTGTATAAATAAAATGTTAGAGGTATGTCTGCTTGTGTGCGTATATTTCGATCAAATTTTTATTTGCTTCTTCGTAAATTCGTCTTAATTTAAAAAAAAATACAATTGCGAGATCTTTGAAAAGTTAGTCTACCTTTTAGCTTATTACTTTTGAGATTATTATTAACATGGATTTTTACAAAAATTCAAAATTTTACAAAAACCAAATCTTTGTGTATTCGTCCTAATTAAAAAAATAACAATCTTTGAAAAGTAAGTCTACAAGAGCCTTTAGTTTATTACTTGTGAGATTATTATAAACATGGATTCATACAAAAATGCATTACCAAACGACCACCACTCAAGCGCACGCCGAGGAAATCTCGGTCGCGACTATTCTATTAATAATTACGATTATCGACTCGCAATAGTTGTGAATTTACGTGTGACATAATACTTTCTAGTTTTCGGTGGGTGATTGTCGTCTGCGACCACGAAGACTATAAATTAACTTTAGAAATAAGTTAATGGTAATAAAAAGGTTGCCCTTGCGATGTACCGACCAAATTAAAACGACAGTTGGCGGTTGTTTGCCTGAGTGTACTAGGCTCACCACAAACCGAGAGAAGTGGCGATTGCTCGTGAGCCGCATAACATCTGCCCACAGTAATGATACTGACCCCCGTATCTTTAGTCGTTCACACGAGCTTAACTCGACTCGACTCAACCTCCAACGCGCGTTTTGGTATGATTAGTCGTAAAAATAAACTCCACTCAAACGTCCTTGGAAAATTTTCCTAACCGGAGTGAAGTGATCGAACTGTCAAGTTAAGGTACGTCGCGACGTACCTTTAACGTTCCTCAAGGCTGGTTTTCTATCAATGTCCAAATAGTATGTGGACCGCAAATAGAAATATATGATATTGTTGTGCAATGGCCTGGATCTGTGCATGATTCCCGCATATTTTGATAATTTAATTTAGATAATATTTATTAATAAAGTAAATAGTTTGAGGTTAGACATTTGAAACTCTTTATTTTATTTACCTACATATGAGACATATTTTGCTTACTACCTGATAAATAAAGTCAATGCGATTATAAGTTTTATTTATATAATAATAAACTGGTGGTTGTGGAAAAGCACTTCAACAACACGATGCAACCAAAATCACACAAAAGCGGCGAATAAAAATACAAAGCCGGATCCGAAATCTAAAATAATAATAGGTTAGAAAATAAATAATACACTTTCAGATTTACCGCACGCACACATATTTACGAATAACTCAGCAACCAAAACATCAAACAAGTTCATCTAGTGTCAAACAGACAGCGGCAGCTTGACTTTGACATTAAACAATGACCATAGACTACAGAACTCTATGGGTTTGATGCTAGCTTGATCAAATTTTCATCATTATTACCTCACTCGAGGACAGTTGAGGAATATTGTAATGGTCGACTAAAAATACCAAACTCGAGTAAGTTTCGAGGGAATGCTCGAGCATCATCGGATGAGTTAAGAGTGGAGGACTATTTTACGAAACGTCTAAAGATACGGGCATGAATGACGATCACGACTGCTCTGACAAGAGTGATACGACAAAGGGAAGGAAAAAAAAAAAAAAACGTGTAGCACTCGGGAACTGCCGCGGTAAAGCTATTGCATTGCATTTTTTATCAATTTATGCAATTATAATTAGACAATGATAATTTAATATTAAACCATTAATAAAATAAGACCACGCTATTTAAACGTTAATAAAAAAGCAAAACCTTAACTGTCCCCTTCACACTCATAAGTTAGACCGCGCGAGAGAGAGATGGGCAGACTTTTCATGATGCACATGCAGTGTGACGTCACGCCACGCGCTTATTCACAAACACTACACAAGCGCAACGTGTGAATGTGCTGAACGCGAGCTACATGGTAGGCGGAGTGAGGCGTGTAAGGTTTTTTTCGTTACGGAATTTCATGATTTCGGGCTCAAGGCCCGCGATAAAATCTATGCAATAGCTTAATAAATCTGAAAATCCGGATTAAATTTAGTAAAAACATTACGTGTCCAATCAATCATCAATTACCTTTTCTCAATACACATTTTACATCCAAATTCTTGACCTACTTAATTTCGAATACACGTAAACGAATTCGATTGTCTATGATACGGTTAATCGAGTGTGACGTCAGAATCCAATTTAGCGTGGTCGGTGCCTATATCGAATTGCTGAAAGCTGATTAAAACACTCCCAAAGGTCACTCTTCACTCACATTTGCCATTTCCGAAGTAATTGATTAGGATGAGGTTTTGGATTTTAGTAAATAATTTAAAAATGTCGTAAACGTAAATATTATACTACTAGTGGCCCGCCCCGGCTTCGCTTGGGAAGTACCGCACGCGATGTAAAGAATTTTAGGTACTTTTTTTACACATTGGGTTACATTATTGGAGTTTCAGTAAGAACCCTTAATTTTTTGGAAAATATAATAAATATAGCCTATGTCACCCGGGGATAGCGTAGCTTTCCAACAGTGAAATATTTTTTTAAATCGGTTCAGTAGTTTCGGAGCCTATTCAATACACACAAACAAACAAATCTTTCCTCTTTATAATATTAGTATAGATTAGTATAGATGTCACATTGGACATACTATTTCGACCCTAAAATTATAGTAGTACCGATCAAGGAATTTTCTAGAAAAGACATGCTTATCGTTTACTGCCTTGTTGAAGAATAGTCAAACAGACTAGTATTGTCTTTCTTGGCCAACTGCAGATCAAGACAAGACTGTCCACATTTTGCCTTCGCCGCGCATTCGAATAGGTACTTCGGTCATATTGCTCGGAAAACACCCGATAGCTTAGAGAGACTATTTGTGACCGGGAAGATCGAGGAAAAGAGACCACGCGGGCGCAGTTCACCTAGACGAATCGATTAAATCCGCAGATCCCTTTGCACAAAGCCCTTCATGTGGGCAATGATCGGAGGCGTTGGAGGGAGAGGACATTACAAGGAGTACAATCCTGTCGAAATATGACGGTCACGACCCTCAGCAGTGAGGAAACGACGCGAGGAGGAGTCAAACAGGCAGTATAGTACCTAAATCTGAATTCAAATTCAATACGATTTACCAATGTGTCCGCGAGCATTTTGCATAACATTCAAAACGAAACGGTCGGTAATTGTGATTGGGATTCAAAGAAACGTAACACTTATACTTGTAGGTGTAAAGCTGATTATTCCCCTTCCGCAAAATGACGCTTTCGATGTTCTGGTATTTGATTTCAAGATACAATACACTTTACGAGTATGTCATATACTACTAGTAACTGCTTTGTAACACAGTTCAATTTGTTATATTGCACTTTACAGTTTGTTAAATATACACTATTTTGTGATAAAGCACGTCTTTTCTTGCAACCTTGCTGGAACGAGAATTTCCTTAATTAAAAATAATAATTTTGATGGTAATCTTTAAGGTAATCTTAAAATATTTTATAGACGAATTCGTATATGTACATTTTTTACGGAATAATCTGGCTGAAATTTGATGTAGGTACCAACCAATAGCTGCAGAATACAATATGATATTTCCATACGTGATATTTTCCCGTGTTAGCTCTCATTTTTAACTAGACTAGCTACTGTTACATTAATTTGTAAAGCCAAATTTATTATTGAAATATTTGCATTTATTTAAAAATATGTTCTAGAAGATGAAAATAGATCAAACTTAACACATTACCGTTTACCTGTACTGACCCGCGTATTACATTAATGACCCATTTTCACTGCAAATGTTGTTCTTGCACTATTTTCTCAGAAATCATAAATTCTGTCCCATTCGTTATTTTAATAACGTGAATATTAGTATGTAGTTTTTATGGCATTAAAAAAAACAAGAACTTTAGTATATAAGAACTATACCTTCGATCAACTAATACATGCTTTCTAAAGTCAACATTCTTCGTGAGTATAGAGACCAGTATACACTTTGGAAAACATTTCGAAATCTAACTACAAAATCAGCTTCTCATTAACGCCTCAGTGAACACTAGAATTATAATTATCATAGCTACAATATGGTGCCTGTAACCTAAATAATTGTTTTTTTCTTTTCTTTTGGTGTATCGCTACCCGTAATGTCCCATATAACCCGCGGAGTCGTTGCCCTAAATTTAAACATGTAATGTTAATGTTGTGCTATAAATATTCCGGTCTGCTTTGCTTCAAGTTTAGGTACAAGTCATAGGAAATTATATCGACCAAAAAAGTATTTAAAGCGAATTTTATCTTGTAGTGGACTGTATGATTAGGATGGGCAAGGAACTTGATAAATAAACTCGCCAGGATTGTACGTATAAAATTTGTATATTTTAGAAATTTTATAAATCGCGTACAATAGCACGGAAAAAAGAGAATGACAAAACTAAAACATTCCAAAATTCAAAATTCAAATGTAATGTCAAAAACCACAACCACAACAATAAAAAAGGTTTTAAACCAATTTGTTGGGTTTCCAACATATCTATCTCATTTATAGATTTTCGTAACTTTTCAATAAAACTTGAAAAGTAAAACTATTATTGTTTCATTGAAATAAACATAAGAAATAAAAAGAAATCGCTAATGAGATTGATTAATAAATATTAATTGTCACGTATCGAGGACGATTATCGCGACTCGCGAGTTATCGGCAAGCTTATCGCTATAATTATTATAACATAAAACAAAATTGATTATCATTACGGTTAGTGTATAAATAATCATGATCAGCAAAGTGACACTTTGATGTTAGGACCAGACATTCTCTATTGACACCATATTATGAATAACAGTGTATCTTAAGAAATTCTTAGAATACTTATTTTCCGAGTGCAGTGCCCAATTTAAGCTCTTTAAACCGAAAATTATATTATTGGATTTATAATATAATAAAATTCAACGAGGTAGAGGTAGGTTTTTTTTATTACTTAGATGGGTAGACGAGCTCACAGCCCACCTGGTGTTTAATGGTTACTGGAGCTCATAGACATCTACAACGTAAATGCGCCACCCACCTTGAGATATAAGTTCTAAGGGTCTCAGTATAGTTACAAACGGTTACCCACCCTACAAACCGAAACGCAATATGCCAATTCGTGCCAATCTTCTATGGGTTGGGATGACTAATGCACGAATTAATTTATATATTTACAACCACTATAAATACTACAAAATGACTTATTTAGTGATCTTTTAAATTAGTCTTTTCAGGGCCAAGTGTTGCTATGTTCCCCACTCTCAGAATATAAAAAAAAGTTGTTAAAAACCCAGTGCAACCAATTTTTTTTTTCCAAATTAATAAACTTAATAACATAGGAATATAATTGAATTCATAAATTATTGTACCAAACTGCAACATTTTAATGTACAGCATTGTACGAAGACAAATCGTCTGGACAAAATCACTGGACCGAAGCGATCTTGTTCGTTTGATGTTTAGATCACGTTTTAAATCTCCTTATTCGCCTTTGAATGTTTCTGAGTCTACAACAAATTTGTATTAAGTAGGAAAAACAACTCCTTTAAAAAACTCAAGTTATGTTCATATTTAAAACAAAATGACACGCCGAGTTTGCGTGGTCTAGGTAATATTAGGGGTTAAAGTATGAAATTGCCGATTTGTGTTTTTTCTTGATTTGGACAATTTTCTACGCGATAAAAAGTTTTCTTCCCAGGAGACAGTACAAAATGCTTTCACACAGTTTGTAGAATCTAAATCACCAGAGTTCTGGCATAATAAAAATGCATAAATGACCTTCCTATTAGATGGCAGGAATGTATAGACGATAATGGTACATATTTTGATTAAATATGTTATGAGAAAAAAAAACGACTTTCAGTTTTTCGGTACAAATCGGCAATTTCATACTTTAACCCCTAATATTACAAATTAACGTAAAAATCTCAAAAGTATATTTTTAACAGTCTTTTTTTTACATTTATGAGTAAAGAATACAAACGGGCCTGATTAATACAATACGATCGGCAGGAAATCTATTCAATATTACCAATAGCGGCCATTGTCAATACCACTGTCGTTGGAGCGTATCCAACGATGTCATTGTGTTGTTACGTTTTCATAACATTGCATGACTGACTGACGTTATTCTGTTTTGAATACCTTAAAATATTCTAGTAATATTAATACGTGCAGCAAAAACTTTATACCGCTTTTTACGAAAATTGCGGGGATGGAGGAGTATGAAATTTCCCACACTTATAGAGAATATAGAGAAGAAGTGCACAATGATGATATTTTTTTAAAATAATGCATAAAATTTACATTAAATCAATAAAGAAAACATTACACACCCTGCCATGTATTTGACACACACACACATATGTATATATACTCTTTTTTTATTGTCAAACTTTAGTTAATGCTTAAAGTCTGTGGTCAAATTGAAAATAGGTTTAATATTGTTTATCTTTAATATTAATTGTCTTAGCGAAATCTGTGATTATAGAAGTATAATAGTCTTTGACAATATAACCATAATAATGTTCAAACTTATAATTTCAATTAATTATAGTCGAATCTCGACTACTGCTAGTTCTAGTAAATGTAGATGTAAAATATTTCGTTATTCGGCAATTAGTTCGATATTTCAATGCTATATTCAGAAACAGTTGAATTTGTAGAGTGCAACCTTAATAATTCCGATGTCCTTAATCTGATTTTATTGTTCATTAAAATGTTAGAATAAGTATGTAAATATTAATAAATTAATACTAAAAAATTAAAACATGTACATTAATTAACGAAAGTTTTTGTTTTTTTTTCATTTTCTTTTGTACTGATATTTCTCATTGCAAACAATTCTTGAAATGCGTAATATACAAATTGTTTTAAACTTTCACGGTGCAGTAAATTATTATAAACACTATTAACTAACGGACTTTTAGCAATTTTTTTGTTTTAATAAGTGGCCAACATTTCGCGTTATGTCTTTAGGTGGAATCTAGTATTGAGTTTAGTTAAAAAAGGTTTTCTCAAAGTGTCCTGAAAAATTATTGATAGCTTAGCGCGTCATCGAGTTCCAACATTAAGATCCAAAAGCGGACTAGAAAGAGGGTAGACAGAATTTCCTATTCTTAGCAGCCTATCTTGCGTCATGGAACAGCGCCGAAATATCAGGAACTGATTGAAACTAAAATCGTGATAAGAACCCATAATCGTGTTTATACTGCACTAGTTTTCGCTCGCCACTTCGTCCGCGTGGAATAGTTACTTGAGCATAACGCTAAATTTTACCTGCGACTTCATTTGCGTGGAAAGAAAAAAAAACCCGATGCTGAAACATTCTTTATTGGTGCTCCGTTTGTATTGGTCTTAGCGTAATGTTATATAGTCTATAGCCTTCCTCAATAAATGGGCTATCTAACACTGAAAGAATTTTTCGAATCGAGCCAGTAGTTCCTGAGATTAGCGCGTTCAAAAAAACAAACTCTTCAGCTTTATAATATTAGTATAGATAGTATAGAAGTATAGATATGATAAATAAATCGAATTCTATTTATTACAAAAAAACACGCGATGCATCATGTAAAACACTCTTAAAATATCACGGACATCTTTTAGGGAAGTCATAATTTATTTTAAGAAATCAACGAATGTCGTATTAATATGAGTTCATCTTTTGTTCAGAAAGAGTGCACAGTGCGCCTTTGAAGGCAAGGGCGGGCGGTGACGTCATGGGAGAGCGTTCAGTCGATACTTTGGACATGGCCTTCACGGGACCTTCAAATTTAGTGCTCACACCAGCCCCGGAATGTAAGTGTGGCTTAAAGATATTTTTTTAAATGTAATCTCTGATAGTATTGAACCTTCGTGAACTGTCAGATTAAACGCTCATCATATATAATGTGTACATATAATATGTATATATTATTATACGTAATGTTTACTGTATGCACTAGGTTTGTGTTCCTAATTCTCCTTTCCTTTTGCGGGCCTACTGGAAGAGATTTCAACATGAAATAAGTAGTGCCCTTGTACACTGTATCCTTATTGTCGTGTTTCTCCTAACAGCTATGTGTACAAAATATATTAAATATACTTTTTTTTAATTTCGTAATATGTATTTAAAATATTTTACGAATTCTTTTTTAATGTAACGCTTCTTACTTATTTACTATTTCATTCTAACAGTGTTTGAAGTTTCGTTACAAATAAAATTTGCAATGTATGCGTATTCATATATTAATTTTATTTTTGTTAAAGGTCGGAAACTCTCCCGTGGCATTTCCCGGGCCACGGATAACGAAGGCCTGGTGTGGGCGTTACGTAACAACACAGACCCGGAACCAAGCACGCTAAGCTCCGATCACATACTGCTCCTACCGGATATAACGGTTTACCCGCCGGATTTCAGGTATAAATCACCACTCGCACGGATGTTTTTATTTTATTTATTTATTAAACGCCAATAACGCGGTGAATATGCTGTACTGATCTAAAATATTTTTATGGGTAATATATATTTATTTGGAGTAGCTGAGTATGCAGGATCATCCTCGGTCGTGAAACAACATTCCGATCAGTAGAAAAGTCAGGGCGATATAAAAGCGTTTATAAAGGTCCAATTCAATGAAAAAACATTCAAATATCGAAGACGTTGCTAGTTGATTTTTTTAATTTTTTCGAAAGCATTGGCAACACGGCCGTCAGCTTAAACTAATTTTACAAAAAAATAGAAAATGAACTAGGATTAACAATAAAAACACAAATAAAAGAAACAAACCAAACCAAGAAACAATTACAAATCATTGAGAACAACAAATTAATTACAAAATGAATTGCAAGAACTCACCATAAAAAAAAAAAACAAGTGAGAAAAAAAAAATCACAAGTTTTCTTTCAACAAACAACGTATGCTATTTGACAGTGACAACACAGACCAACTTTTTTTATTAATAGATATGGCAATGTCTGTAGACTGTCAGTTTTAATGAGACAAATAAGGACTGGCTGGTTTAAAATAATAATTTAATACAACGCTTACAAATATAGTTAGAGTATGAATGTTTAACGTTTTTGGCGATCTATGTGCTTGCTCATTCGCTCAGAATATAAATTTCACCGTAGGTGGGGTAACATTTGAGTCGTCTATTATCAAAGGTGGCAATCTGTGCATTTGGACAAAAAAAATTTATTGATATGTCAATTCAGATTGATTTGAATATAATTGTCTCCTTCAAAGAATACGGTTCAAAACCTGCATTAAATAAAGGTTAATAGTTAACCTGTTATTTATCTAAGATGTCGTTTCGAAGAGTTTTGTAACTGCCAATGGAATACAAAGTCAATAATTCGTTTTTCTGATTTCCCATCATTGTCCAAAAATCAGATTGCCGGCTTTGATAATAGTCGACTCATTTGTTATATTTTTCCGTGCATAGTCGCACGTGCGGTTCGGGGTTTCGTGCCAACGTCTGCGGCACGCTACCTACGCTATTGCCGTTGAACCTTCTGTTGTGTTGTTTAGCGTACTTTAACCTTACGTCTGAACACGAATATTATTCCGTTTCGAATAATTGTGATATCACGTGTTTTCGTCCGTAAACGAAGTAACTTTTCTGCAAAATTCAGACACAATTTGCTTATAAATAAAATGTAAAAGTAATCAGCTTTATTTATTTTTTTGGTCGTCGTCTGTAAAAATAACAATTTAGAAAGTTTTTTTTTAATAATCTTTATATTAATACGTGAAGCAAAAACTTTGCACCCCTTTTTGCGCTAACGAAGGAGTATGAAATTTCACACACTTATAGAGAATATTGAAGGAGTGCAGAATGCTATTTTGTTTTAATCTTACATTAATAATACATTAAATCAATAAAAAAACATTACACACACTACCATGTATTTGACACGCACACATATGTTTGCTGTCAAACTTTTGTTATTGCATAAAGTCTGTGGTCAAATTGAGAATAGTTTAATATTATTTATCTTTAACTATATTGTAGTCTTGGCGAAATCTGTAATTATAGAAGTATAATAGTATTTGACAATAGAATCATAATAATGTTCAAACTTATAATTTCAATTAATTATAGTCGAATTTCGACTACTTTGGGACCGCTAGTCTAGTACGTAGTAATTGTCTCGAATTAAACTTGGAATGACCTGCATGAGCAGATAAGGTGTTGAGCTTTTAGTACAGTAGCAGATCGGGGTTGACTGAAAATCTGTGCGTACACCTCAGACAGCATTAGCGTAGCTACCTCCTTTGGTCTTTTCTTTTATTTATTTTTATTTACCTGTAAAAATCATGTGAATATATTTTTTATTTTCTGATATTCCCCATTATTTTGCGGTGATTAACGATACCTTTGGGATCAGCCAGCCAGAACAAGTTCATATAAGGTCGTTTGCATTTGCGCAGTGATTAAAGCTAAGAAAGATTCAGAAAATATTGCTAAATCCGTTTTGAATTAAAATGAAAAGTAATATATTGCTGGATCGTTCGAAAATATTATCGAATGCTGACGCCTAACAATAAATATTATTGAATTCGTTCTAGAACATTCTTGGAGAAGGACTTACTAGAGACAGTTACTTTGGTCACATTAGAGAAAATATTGCTAAATCCGTTTTGAATTTAAATGAAAAGTGATATTTTGCTGGAACGTTCCAAAATATTATCGAATGCTGACGTCTAACAATAAAGATTATCGAATTCGTTCTAGAACATTCTTGGAGAAGGACTTACTAGAGACAGCCACTTTGGTCACATTAGAGACGGCAAACATATTGAACTGGTGGTGCCATGGCCGTGTGCCGGGTGCTCCTCAACTGCTGCCACTAGCGACGTCAGGAGACGGGAACTGCTTACCTCATGCGGCGTCATTAGCGGCCTACGGCTTCCACGATAGACTGCTCGCTTTGAGAACGAAAGTACAGGCTCTACTGTCCGGGGAGTACGGTGAAACCATAACGAGTTAGTTGTTTTCTATTTGTATTCTGTTTTGTAAATAGAACGGGAAAAAGTACGAGACATAGTTCAATTTCTGAACGAATAAGGAATGATATAGTTATAGTTATTTATTTTTCCACGGTTTGGAGCTGTAATTGCGACGAACTCACGAAAATTGTTCATAAACTCATTTTGAGCCATCAATCCCGCCATTGACCTATGATGACGGTACATACCGTACCACCAGTATTGTATTGGTTTAATTATAATCACACTCCTTTAAACCAAGAATCATGGTTGATTCAAAGCCGAATTGATTCCCCCTTAATTAAAGATTGTGACGTACGTAAGAATACGTATTTAGTATTTAGTTAGACATTGAGAAAGAATACACTTTTTCTCACAATACCGGTGTTGGTGTAGAATTTTGGCCCACCTAGGGTTAAGCGGTTACCGAAGCCCATAGACATCTACAACGTAAATGCCGCCACCTACCTTAAGACACAAGTTCTAAGGTCTCAGTATAGTTACAACGACTGCCCCACCCTTCAAACCGAAACCCATTACTGTTTCATGGCAGAAATATACCGGGTGGTGGTACCTATCCGTGGTGGTCCTACCACCAGTTAAATTTAATTATTTTAATTGAGCTTTGAGATAGGAAATAATTAAAGATGAGACGCTGATTAGGTGACGCGGTATCGTTCCAGACGCGATCCGGCGTCGCTGGCGCTGGTCTGAGAGCGCGTCGCTGTGCGCGGCGGGGCTGGTCCCGTCGGAGGGCGAGTGGGCCCGCGAGTGGCGCGAGGCGGTGGCGGCGGCGGCGCCCACCCCCCGCGCCCCGCACCCGCAGCACGCGCCGCACTACACCGGGCTGGACGCGCTGCACGTGCTCGCGCTCGCGCACGTCATGCGGCGCCCGGTGCTCGTGTTCGCCGACGTCGCTCTCAGGGTACGTACACGCACGCACAAACGACATGATCACCACAATGAAGCTACTTCTTACTAATATTATTAAAATTTGTGAGGTCTGAGGAAAATGTGTGTTCGTTAGGTACTGCTTGCTTCACGCAAAAATATAGGAGACGGATTTTGGCAATGTAATAAATCAGAATAGACCTTAAATCAAAGACACATCTTAAAGACCACATTCAATCTTGATACAAAGCTACAAAGCGCTCTTATTAAATTAACAAATCTTGAACAATTCCCTTAAGTCACAATTCGTCTTTTCGCATTAAAAGTGTACAATTTTCAAAAATATTCGAAATTGAGTTAATATGCGGAATCATTTGATATCATCAGTGTTTTTCCCATAAATACTGTCAAGCGTAGTTTTTTTTTTTTTTTTTTGTGTACCTCTGTTTTGACTACCATTAAAAAATTAATACATAATTTTATCTTACATTAAAGACAGATAATGCAACTGGTAAAAAAAAATGTTGCAAAGATGATTATTATGAAAAATAGCACATGTTAAACCTTTAAAACACTCTCCTGTAAAATTAGTAAGTTTTGAGATTATACAGTTTTAATGCGAGAAGACGAATTGATGAAATTATAACAAAGTTTCTAGAATGTTAGTGATGTGCAACAATAACTGGTAGGAGAGTAGAACCTAGCAGCTTAGGGAACCTAAATAATTATTTACAAAGAAGATTTGATACTAAATGAAGACCAAACAAATTATTTGGCAGGATTACCACGGTGACCCGATAGCGCCGATCCCGTTCGGGGGCGTGTATCTGCCGTTGGAACTGGACCCGGCGCAGTGCAGCCGCGCGCCCGTGCTGCTGGCCTACGACGCGGGACACTTCTCCGCGCTGGTCCCCTGCGAGCCCCTGCCCGCCGCCGGAGCTCGAGTGCCGCTCGAAGACAGCGCTGGAAACCCTATGCCGATCAGGTACCGCGAGTTTGTAATACATAATCGCCACATATCATCTGGCTTTGGAATGAGCTCTCCTCCACTGTGTTTCCTGAGCACTATGACATATATTCTTCAAACGTGACTTGTGCAGAGTACTTAACGGCACGCAGCGGCTTGGCTCTGCTCCTGGCATTGCTGAAGTCCATGGGCGACGGTAACCACTCACCATCAGGTGGGCCGTATGCACGTCTGTCTACAAGGAAAATAAAAAAATAAAAAAACCAACCACACCCGATTTCATTGACACTTCTGATTACTCTTTGGCGGGAACGCGAGGAGTGAAGTTGTGTGATTTGTTTTATTTAGTGTTTCTTCAGGTTTAAATGTGTAATAACGGCGGTTTATTAACTGTTTAATATCTGTGAAAGTGCACAAATGTGGGAAAATGAAACAAAGCCGCTGGACGTAACTTCTCGGGATCCTCCAAAAAGTCCACTGAAAAAAGTTTCAGTAAATGACCACCATTTTACTGAGATTATATTTCATCCCATAACATCTCATCTAACTACATTTCATTTCACTCCATTTTATCATTTTCCATAAAAATAAGACTATAAATTAAAATAAGACATGACCTAAAGGTCAACGTTACCTAGTCATAAAATCCCTTAAAACAAAAGTCACTTCTGATTTAAAATTAGAAGAAAAGTTTTCACTGCTTATCTTGTTACAGGTTCAGTGTAGATCCAGGCGAAGACTTCCGCTGGGACGTGGAGCACGATCAAAAAGTTATCAACAACCTACTCCCGGACGAATACGAGCGATCCGCCATGCTGGCTGCTTATTTAGACCTCGAGAGGGTTGAATGCGTAACGCAGAACCAACCCCCCGAAGAGCTAAGACGATCGCTGGACGCATTGTCGACTAAAAGCTCAAAACAATTAAATTCTGTCGCCAAACAGTTTGGCAGCATCGGCAGATCTATGAGCAGTAAGATAAAGAAGAATTTTGGGTCCATGGCCAAACTGACCGGCAAGAGCAGCGGCAGTCAAAGTAATCCTGAAGAGAGCTTGGTTCGGAGGCAGTCGACGTGTGAGGTGCTCTGTTGCAGGGTGCTAGCGGCAAGAGCACCCGTGCAAGAAGAAATGGTCAAAAACTATCTTAACGAAGCATGGACGGGGTGAGTTAGCCACTTGAAGGCGGGTCTTTTCAATTTTACTATATAATCGCGTTTCATGGCACAAACAAAAGAAAAGATTAGAGAAATTTGTTTGTGTGTCTTCTATGCGTTCCTAATCTACTTTTAGTACAGCTATTATCGGTACTCCGGCAAAGGTGTCGGTTATAGTACCGTCAACGTACGACAGATGGCGCGTTTCAGTTTGAGTCATCCACACACCTACATTTAAGTTTTTTTTTTTTATTGTTTGAATGGGTGGACGAGCTCACAGCCCACATGGTGTTAAGTGGTTACTGGAGCCCATAGACATCCACAACGTAAATGCCACCCACCTTGAGATATAAGTTCTAAGGTCTCAAGTATAGTTACAACGGCTGCCCCACCCTTCAAACCGAAACGCATTATTGCTTCACAGCAGAAATAGGCAGGGCGGTGGTACCCACTCGAGCGGACCCACAAGAGGCCCTACCACCAGTAAAGATTTAAGTGTAAGATCTTGAAAGTTTGATTAAATAATTCAGGTACACCGCGGAAAAGAACCGCAAGGAAGCGTCGCCCTGCGAGCCCGGGCAGCCGCGGTACGGCACCGGCAAGTCGCAGTTCTACGCGGAGGCGGACCGCGCGGCGCACGAGCTGGCCCGCAGCCACGCCGCGCGCTCGGGCCGCCCCGCCGCCGACCGCACGCTCTACCTGTCCCGGTCCACGTTCTACGACGACCGCCCGCCCTCCCCGCGCCCCTGCCGCGCGCCCCTCTGCGCCTACTACGGCAGCCCCGCCAACGACGACTACTGCTCGAGGTGTGCGAAACTGCAGTGAGCGCTTCCGAACTTCTACACTATCTTATTATTATTAGTCCATTAAGAGTAAAGCTGCTTTCAGACTACGCTATACTATAGTGCCATATAGTATAGCAGCGTATACTTACCCAATCATATATATTTTATAGATGTTTTTTTTTTATAACGCCAACTTATTGTGTCTTTAAAGCGGTTAGTTGCCCTCAATTAAGAAAAATAGTATTATTATTCGACAATAGATGTCGGGAAGAGTTGATTATTGAAAACACGAATAAAACAACATTTTCTGAAAATAAATCGTAGCTAGATCGATTTATCGCCCCCGAAATCCCCTGTATACTAAATTTTATGAATATCGTTGGAGCCGTTTTCGAGATTCAAATTGTATATATACAAGAATGACTCGTTTAAAGGTATAAGATAAGATATAAAATACAGTACAGACGTGTCCATAACAATGTATGGTATGCGATATTGCTGTGCTATGAGCTATATACTATAATATGCTATTATATTTTAGCGTAGTCTGAAAGCGGCTTAATATACTTAGTATTTAGTATATATATGTAATTAGTCTATTAATAATTAATTAAAATTTGAGCGCGTTTGATTTTTTTTTTCGATGCTGGCAACAATGTATGCGTTGAGCGTAAGTTGGTTACACTCAAATTTTATGATCTGTTCCGATCTTTACTATAGATCTGTTTGCCAGCACGTTTGTTATACTTATCGTTTTATTCACTTAATTAAACTTTGGTTAATTTATGTCACTAATAAATATCATAAGTATTTAGATTGTTATTTAGTCGTAGCGTGTCACGGTTTGTGTTTTAACCCACCATTAACTTAACGTTTATAAAACTGCAGATGTGATCTGTGCGAACCGCGTACTTTACCTACTGAGCTTGTCCCTTTTGTCTTTGAAGGAACTTAAAAAGTGTGAAAGAAAAAAAAACGAAAGACTTTTGATTGTAAAAAAATCGATGTGTTCAAAATATGAAGTGCCAGGTGTATGTGGGGGCGTAAATTTTGGACAATTCCAAACGAGTTACAGAGCTATGATTGTATACATATAGTGTATGTATTTATGTATATAAAAAGTATTAAGTCGTAATATATCATTGGATACCTTACGTCAGGGTTTTGATAATAAATCATTGAATGATAAAACAACGCTTTAGTTTTGTGAAGTTATTTAAAATAAAATTATGAAAGGCACGTTGGTAAGCGCTTTTAAAAGAACCAAAATATTTTATAATTTCTCCGACTACCCCCACAATGGAAGAATTTGTTAAACATTCATTATATATATAAAAATTAAATTAATTGGTGTCAGGGTATGAATACACTAACATCAGTAATATAAATTGTCGTAAATCCTCATATCTATTATATTAAAATTATATTAAAAACGAGCTTAGAAGTTTTCGTCCTTGTTTTGCTTAAAATTTATGAAAAGATTAATGTTTTTTATTATTCTAGTCCTAATATTGTAATAATCTATAATAGTTACTTAAACGAAATCAATGCAACATTGAGAATATTGTACTCTATTAAAATTATAACAGAACAGTTGTTTATTAAAGTTAAACTAATTTATTATTAAAAAAAAGAAGAATTATTCCAATATTACATGTAATCTCATTGTTCACCATAGCTAGTATCAGGCTAAGCAAGTACGAATGTATTTTTAGATATTCTGCATACTGTTGGTAGTTAGAACTAAATTAAATTACAATTTCTCATGAGCCATTGCCACAATTAAAAAATCTCACGTTTGTGTTATTCAAAATTCATTATTAAATACAACCAGAATGTCGCAATGTCGTTAATTTGTTCAAAAATCTATTGTATTGTGACGTAAAATAACTGTCTACATCGTCTACATCTAACTGTCTACATATAGGTATAAATCGGCGTCCTATATATCAGTTTCAGTTTAGTCGCTCATGATATTTTGTTTACCTTATGTTTTTCAGAACGGTTACTTATTTCTCAATGTTGCCTAAGATTTAGTATTTTAGTTTTTTTTCTTAAATTAACCTAGATTTAGGTAAGTTGTTAAACTTTAGACCAGATATCTCTAGTATTTGATATTTGTCTTCTAAATAATCGGTCTTGAAAATAAATAAAAGGTTAGTGTGAAGATTGAGAAATATTACTGCACCGTTGAAACTGTTGCGGTCCAATGAATATTTTGTAAACTTGAAGTCTTTTATGTTATTACATTAAAATTATATACTTGACTCCTCACACTTGAATTCGTTTTCGCCAGGTTGAATGGGGATTAATAAATCACAGAGAACCGAAGAATATATTATCTTAATTAAAATTAAAAGAAACAAAAGGCTATGTTCTTATGGTGATGCTACTCATAGCTTGCTGCCACTCATATTCAGTACAAAATTTGTACGTTTGAAAACTGTTAATTAATTTTTGGAATTTAATGAATATTTTTTGTAACCTGACAAACTATGATAACACAAAATTGTTCCAAATAAATTAAACCAAATTTTAACTGGCATAAAGTTGATTTTGTATGGACGAACACAAGTAATACTTCTTTTTCTCCTAACTACGCCGAAAGTTCGGTTTTCCTCCCGCTGTACAGGGAAGAAATTATAAATTTTCCTCCCGCTGTACAGGGAAGAAAGTGTAACTTTTCCTCCCTGGGTATTGACAAGTGCGCATGCGCGTTAGTGTCTACGTCTGCTCTCACGCACCTAAAATTCTCCGCCATTATTGTGCTCGGGTAATTTGCAATATTGTGTTTAGTGTAAAAGTGAAATAAACAAAAGGCAATAAAATTTAATAGTGAAGTATTATACAAAGATGACTTCATCAGACAGTTCTTATTCAATTAGTAGTAGTTTATTTCAAAATTAAAAAACAGTTAAATTGATTTTTTATGAGGGCTCCGCCCCCCATACCCCCCGCCAGGGATTCGCTCCTGGTCCCCGGCTCGGTACTCCACGAACTTTCGACCTAATAGGAGAAAAATTAGTATGTGCACCGCGGGAAAAAAAGTAGGACATCTCATTCCGCGTGTTTGTACGTTACACGCGGTAGGAAATGTCCTACTTTTCTCCCTTGGTGCACAATGTACTATTTTGTATATTTTTTCTTTAATGTAGTAAAATATGTCTGCTTTAAATATACATACAATATTATATGTCACAAAAACTATTAGCTTTCTTTACTGGTCAGTGGAATAGAATTATTATAAATAACATTCTTTGTTCTCAGCTAAAATGAGCTAAATGCTTATACTATACTATACATATTTATTCAATAATAGATTCTAGTCCAATAAACAACATGAATGTCGTAACCCACTGATATTGAGCTTGGATATTTTAAAGAGAAATACTTGTCTATTACCCATGAGAGCTGAAAGTGATCGATATTATGTTAAAAAATATTCTTATACTTATTGTAATCCTTTAATACTTAGATACGTACATACCTAACAAAATACCTGTTACTTATAAAATAATTATGCCAAAAGCAAAAAGTTATTCATGTTTCTAATTTAATTAGTGACATGTATATAGATTTTAATGATCTGTGAGATAATATTTTTATAATTAAAAAAATATGCATGACAAAAATTTATTTTTTCAGGAAAAAATATTGATAGATACCGCATATCATGTTTTATTTTATAGAAATACAAATGATTAATAATAAAAGGTTTTTTTTTAAAACGAGTACAGAAAGTATCTCCTTTTTTTTAATGAACATGTAGGGGAATGATACCCCGCCCCGCTTAGCTTATTATGCTTATTAAGCAATCACTATTGTCAGCCCTACAGTTTTAGGGTGTGTGTCCACCGGAGCGGAGCGGAGAAGCGGAGAAATATTAACCAATAAGATGGCACGAAATGGTTTTGCAATCTTATGATTTTCATTTTGTGCAATCTTATTGGTTAATATTTCACCGCTGCAGTTTTTTTGAAACTTATCTACAGTTTTGCTCTATGCTGGGGTTGACAACCCTGTAAGCAATATACGTTAGTCAGTGGATAACGTGCAGCGATCCACCGCGGTCGCTGTCGCGAACAAACATGTAATATTAAGTAGTGTTTTATAGACCGCACCAATGAGGTTTCCGGAGGACAACTCAACCAACGCACAACAAACCTCACAAACATACATGACAACAATGAGATTGTGGTATATGTTTGATTAAGTATTCATTTGGCATACCAATGTAAACACAACCTTATGTACCTATACATACGCACTACGTTCGGTAAATGATTCAAAATTGATTATTCAACGACATTGCCGATGTTTTTAAGCGAAAGTGACCGCTTTCCATGAGAATGGCGACACGGTCTGCTATCGAAGACAAAGGGACTTTTTGGCGGGAACGCGAGGAGTGAAGTTGTGTGATTTGTTTTATTTTGTTTATTTCGTGTTTCTTCAGGTTTAAATGTGTAATAACGGTGGTTTATTAACTGTTTAATATCTGTGAAAGTGCAAAAATGTGAGAAAATGAAACAAAGCTGCTGGACGTAACTTCACGGGTTCTTCCAAAAAGTCCACTCTGAAAAAATCTCAGTAAATGACCACCATTTTACTGCGATTATATTTCATCCCATATCATCTCATTTCATTTAATTGCATCCCAGTTGATTAATGTCTCAAATTAATCATCTTCATTTCATTACACTCCATTTTATCATTTTTCATAAAAATAAGAATATAAATTAAAATAAGATATGACTTAAAGGTCTTAGTTACCAGGTCATAAAATCTATTATAAATATCGAAGACAAAGCGTCAATCATACATTAATCGAATATATTAAGTGTATAATCTATGTACATTAAGGTAAAATAATAGATACCTCGGACATGTGGGGATCGTGATAGGCTAAATGCTAAACAAAATACATATTCTTATGTAATTCGTTGAAGTAATCAAATTAAAATTAAAGTACTTATTGAGGAAGCGAAATTGACGTGTGCGAAATGCTTCAACATTCGCTGAAACAAAACTTGTTATCACATTACCACATCTATAGAACCTTAGGTTGTTTTTTTTGCCAGAAAGTATGCCATAATAAGAAAATGATTTGTAGAACGTGGTTTCTCTAATTCTTAAAAAGGCTGCTGGCATAGATATTACACTTAATATTTTTTGCTGCTGGTGTACCACAATAGTCGTGCGAATTTCCTAATCCTTGTTTAGTTTCACTTAATTTAACCCCATAATCAATTTCAACTAAATTAACTAAACATTGCACTTTACCTCACATCACAAACCTCTATAATTTTACGTCTCTTTAAAACAAAATGTATGTATCAGAATATTAGGATTATAAAATATCAGGAACAGACTAATAAGAAATGCCTAGAGCCGATTGGGATGTATAATTTCACACCTTCGCTTTTATGTATTTAAAATAACTATTATTGTCATTACTGTTACTGTCAAAACGGCTTGTCTCCAAACTACTAAATCTTTGGAAGATGCATTTTGTTATTGTATTGTTTATGAAGTGAAAAACCTCTAGGTTTCTTCATTAAATATGTCTGGTGGGCTCGTAGATAAAGTTTACATAGGCTTAGATAACGCACCTGCCGCATTTGACATAAAAGGAAGGATATTAGGTCCTGTAAGTTGAATAGTTCTTTATACGTGATTTTCTCATTTCTAGTCCGTTTACACAATTACGTGAATTATTTTCAGAACGGGACTAATTTAGAGTACATAAGATCAGAAACTGGAGTAGTTGCGGTATTGAAAGGTGATAAACTTGAACCTTTACATTTGGCGCTACACCACACTAGATCAGATGCATTAGCTGCAGCGAGGTCATTGGCGCAAAATCTTATTGAGACGATANCATTAGCTGCAGCGAGGTCATTGGCGCAAAATCTTATTGAGACGATACGAGCGGAACTGGCACAATGGAGCGCTGCGCAAGCTGGAGGGCCTCCGCAGGCCATGAATGTTCCACCACCGACATTAACAACAACATCGGCTCCTCAACCTGTACCACCACCGACTCCCACAGCCGCATTGGCCACTCCGCCTACTCTCACATCTACGGTGCCTGCTGTGATTCCTCCAGTAGTCAGTGTAGCTCCTGCACCTACTCCTCTGATGACAGTTCGACAACCTACTGTTCTACAACTTTTACCCCAGCAGCAATATGTGTATAACCAAGAAAACGGGCAGCTAATACCCATTGTACAGCCAGGTGTACAGGTTTCAAATACTAATTTCACATCACTGCCCATAGCTCAACAATTAGGACTACAGCAACCAAATTATGGAGCAACACAAATAGTTGATATTTCAAGTATGCAACCTGTTAACGTGACACAATTGAGGTTAAGTGGAGTACCATCATCCATGTCAATGCTACTACCAAATGGATTTACGTTTCCTCAAGCAAGTTTATCGACAGCAGACACTACTGTCAGCTCAGCAACAGCAACTCCGGTGGTATGTGCAGCACAAGGAATAAATTCCTCACAGAAAATCCTATACAGCTCTGATAAAGATAAAGATGTAAAATATCACATACAAGGAACAGATACTGTACAATGGACCGTGCCGGGATCACAAACAATGCTAATACCATACCAACAGTTACAAGATCTCAGTTCTTGTCAACAGGGCTTATCAAATTTACAACCTCAACAGTTTGTCTCTGTGAGTAGAACATTTTACATACTAATTATTAATGCTGTTTTATCACCATGACCCATATTTATCTGAATGCAGGCTTTCAACCAATGATAATCCTATAATTTTAATACTTTGGCTTTGATCTTGACCTGGATCACTTGATAAAAAAGTGTAATTTTTATTTTGAGAAGAGCTTACTTTGAATGATCATTTGTTTAATTTTTATTTATAATTGTGCAGCCTTGTCCTATTCCCCTATTTTTTGTGATTTCTTATATGATGAAAAACATTCATTTCTGTTTCATTGGAAACTTTCTAATGTTAATCTGACAATGCTAATACAAAATTTTCACACTAACTTTTAACTCGATCCAATTTTGTCTTTGGAAAACATAACAAAATTAGTGAATAAACATATTTATTGTAAATACTAAGTTTGGAATAAAATGAAGAACGTTTTAAATACGTTTATTTGCAGATCGCACCAGCAGGTGGTCTTCAACAAACATTACCATTAACTGCTGCTCAATTACAGCAACTACAAACAGGAACTATAATGCAGCTAAATCAGAAGGTAAAATATACAACTTATACATCTTAAATGGTAACGTTAGAAGATATTATCTGTTGTAGAATAAATGCTAGATAATTACAACAACAAAATTGTATTTTCTTAGATTTTCATGAGACATACACATAATTAAAATTACTTTTATGATGCAGTAGAAGTCCTGTAAAGCATTCAAATAATGACAACACAAAATGAAAGTTTAAACTGTAAGCACAGTTTTAATTAGAAACAATTCAACAACAAATTTATAATGTTACATTTGTATAAAACTTAATTTGAAGCTTGGTTTTAAGACCTAAAGAAAAAGACTCTTAAATGTAGTTGATGAATAAAAAATTTACTCTGTATTTTAATTAAGTCATGAATGCACCAAAAACTGTGTGCGATCTTGCATTTATTGCAAAATAAACCTAGGAAAGTAATATTAATCAAACTATAAGAGTTGTTTTATCCCAATATATCTGATTGTTATACTAGATATAATTATCTGTGAATCTACACCACAATCTGATAATATTTCAAAAGTACATTACATTGGATTTTTTATTTATATTGAACAGTCTTTTCATGATCAACAAATATTGGCAATCAAATCTAACTAAATCATGAAGACACTATGTAGTTCTGTATTATATATTGCTGCAAATATCTATTCTATTTTCAACAGCCGATTGTGAGCAGTGGATCTTTAATAAACATAATATCGACTGGACAAGCGTCATCACCACAAGTCTACTCTGTGAGCATTAGGTTTATGTTGTCGTCTTCCTACGCACTGTATAATGCTTTCAGTTCTGGCTTTGGTGTCACTGTTTCTGTTGCTGTTTAAAAAGGTTTTAGAGAAAACAAACATCCACAGATTGATAATTTTTTTACATAACGACTAGCTCTATGCATTTTTTTTTATTTTTATTGCTTAGATGGGTGGACGAGCTCACAGCCCACCAGGTGTTAAGTGGTTACTGGAGCCCATAGATATCTACAACGTAAATGCGCCACCCACCTTGAGATATAAGTTCTAAGATCTCAGTATAGTTACAACGGCTGCCCCACCCTTCAAACCGAAACGCATTACTGCTTCACGGCCGAAATAGGCAGGGTGGTGGTACCTACCCGTGCGGACTCTCAAGAGGTCCTACCACCAGTGACCATTGTGCTCATGATCCTATAATACCGATCAGAATACAGTTTCAGAAACGGTCATGTACTGTGTTGCAGTATTCTTGAAGGTCAGATTTATTAATAATGTTAAGTGTATCTTCATGACTGCATTGAGTAGATTAGGGGTTGCCCCAATGATTTATCTGTTCCGATAATCTAGATTAAATTTTTCATAAAAACTTCATATCGTGGGATGCTTGTTTTCTGTAAATAAATGTTTGTTCATTTTAGTCACATTCACGTTTCCAGCTAACTTTAATATAAGTTATTAATTTAATTTAAAATTATTTATTGATTTAGCTTTACGATAAAAAGTATTCGTATAAAATGTATGTATTATTAATTCAAAAATTATTTCAGTATTTATTGTTTTTTTTTTTATGTTTACTTTATAAAGAATGCTAAATTACACCAAGTAGCAATAACTAATGGTGTCGGTTTATTTATCGTGTTGATCGGTGTATGAGCTCATAGCTGACCTAGTACTATATGGTCACTAGTAGCCAATAGAGATCACAACGTTAATTCCGTTATTCACTGTGAGATATATTGATAACGAATGCTCAATTGTATTGTGTAACGGTTATCCCACTCTTCAAACACGACACGTAGAGTGCTTCGCGACATACAGAGACTGGTAGTTCCCGCACCGACTACCTATCCATAAAAATTTTTGAGGTTAGATTTTATCGTTGATCGCGGATGTCGTTCGTGAACGAATGATTAATAGATATTACATTCATCATTCATCATTATCCTGCCCTTCTCCCAGTCACCTGGGGTCGGCGCAACATGTTTTCTCCTTCCATACTCTTCTATCATATACAATTTCTTCGCTCACTCCCCTCCTACCCATATCGTCTTTCACACAATCCATCCATTTCTTCTTAGGTCTACCTATTCCTCTAATAGATATTACATTAAAATAAAAAAATTGGTACCTCCCTACGTGATTTGAACACCGGCACAATCGTATTGCTTAATGTCACACATGATCACGAGCAAATATTGCAGGCACAAATAGTCCCTGTTAGTGTATAGTGTTAAATTTTTTTTTCAAAACTATAATTAGTAGTGCAAACGTATTCTTCTAGATTATTCTTTCATATCATCTTTCAAAAAATGTTGCAAAACTAAACCATAGAATATCAACCAGACCCTTTATGTATTTTCTTTCGTCAATATTCTAGAATTCTTCAACGCCTACGAAAAACGCGGGAAATCAAGAAAGCCGAGGTCAGAAGCGATTATCTGACGGTACACCTAGTCAACTGCAATTAAGACCTATAGCACCAGCGGGGTAAGCTACATTAAACCTTAAAACACAGAATTAAAGCGTTTATTTCAGCGAACAAAATGTGCAAGACTACAAAGGAAAAAACCCTTCCGGTAACGTTAACAGAACAAAATTTTTTTATCCCCCCCAGCGATTGGCGTGTTTCTATACGAAATTTGTCATATACGGAACGCTGATGACTTCAAAAGGAATGCTTTTAATTCGAAAACATGTTTTAAAATTTCAAAAATGATAAAAAAAAGTAAAGATTTGATGAGATTAATTTTTTTTAAACTATTTTAAATGATTACGATTAATAAAATTTTAATGAAATTTTAAAACGTGCATCTACAGAACTCATCGTATTATTTCTCTATAGTTCGACTGCTACGATACGTTTACGACGTGTGTGTGTCTGTCTGTGTGTGTGACTGAACCGATATAATGCTACAGGTCGCATGTAAGCCTGGACAAGAGCACGACCAGAGAGACGCGCTCGTGGACGGCGGCCGCAGGTACCTACATTGAAGATTTGCTGCTTAACATTGTCCGCATTTTACTTTGAGATCACTAGAAATTCTATTTACGCCAAAAACAATTTAGGAGCCACACAAAACTCCCGTCCGTAGATTCCTGTCAATTGAAATGTACTTCAGCCCATCAAAATTCACCTTGCGTGATATTAAAACGGCGTTGCTTTTCTAGTTTTTTATTGCAAGGTAACCTAAGTCTGGAATTATAATTTCAAATGATCTCTAATGCTGTTTACTAATTAATTAGGTATAAGATCACTTCCAATACGCGTTTAGCGTAGCTAATATATAATATATTGTTTTATTTTTGCGTGAAGCGTACAGTTGCGGGCATCATAACTTAAAAGTGAACGTTTACAGCTTTTCAGATATGAAATCAGCGGATGAGATATTTTTTGTTTGCTACGCAGGTCTATTGTCTTTCGTCCTACAGATATCCAATTAGGAGATGCAAAAGAACAGTTCCAGAGATACGTTTTAGTCAACGTCAACATTCATCTTTATTTCGCCCCAATAGGGTTATTTCTAGATCAGTTGTAAGTTAGGTATCCTTTTCAGAAGCATCCCCAGCTCAGGCGATTCGTGACTTGAACGTGACCTGCCCATCAGCCCAGTCTGGAGACATTTCAGAACTACTCTTTCAGATTTTACTCTTTCGAAACCCTAGCGTACTTACATCTGTTATGAGTGAACCGAATTGTTTAACCATAAAGCGATAGCGTCATGAACTGTTTAGTGCTATAAAGATTCATTAAGATCACAACCTTCAAGTTTGTCTAATGATATTGCCGTAACGCGACGACAACGCTTAAGCTATATAGCGTACAATGTATAGTATCCAGAATCAAAAACTAAATAGCGAATTGCGCTGGCGTAAATTGAACATTTTATTTTATTATTTGTTTCTTTGTCTTCTCAGTCGGATACTGTTGTCAAAGTGGTCGTGGTTGTGCTGACGATGAATATGCAGAAGCACCCGTTAGGTCGCCCATGCTCCCGAGGACCGCCCCATTTTTTCATCTATTGGCATCGAAATATTTAACAAGCTATAAACGCGATCTATAAAATCCACTTACTACGATTAAAGAAGTCCACAGATTTAGCGTAAATAGAGTGGCAGTAAACTTCTCCGTTAATTCTCTTGGCTTTCGTTTTGAAAATAAACAAGAATTTTGGAGAATAATTTTCTCGGATGTTTTCGCGTAATTAAAACCACTTCATATAGTTAAAACTATTGTTTATGGTTTAATTTTGCACTTATATAAAATTGGACGGTAGGTTACACCATTATTTTTCAAATGACGAGTAACGTGCCTTAGTCTTTCGGGAGTATTAAAACAGTGAACCATTTGAAACGTCACTAGTAATAAAATTAAAAACAATGAACGTAATTTTTTTTTTTTTGTAATGACGATCTGATCATACTTTCAGCAATTTCTGCCAGTGTCGTGTTATGGCTACACATGGAACATTGTCGAGCTATTTAAACACACTTTGTATTATGAAAAGTATCCAATTTTGGCAATAATAATGGTGCCTGGAACGTAAAATTAAACCGTATTAATTAAATAGGTTTTAATCGTCAAATTTCTTCGTTCGGTCGGAGACCACTATTCCTGTAGTTTTGTATCGCATAATAAGCGTAAATCAGCGACGCGTTCTGCGACTAAGGATATCTTTAGCTTATTGGATTATCATCAGGAATTTGAAGAAGATTGGAGCGAGCGATAATTTGACATGAACTTTTTGGGTAAAATACAGTCGCGTACAGAATATGTTTCTACCCGAATAGCTGGTGTGGAGCTTGACAGGGCTGACTTCACACCGACCGCGGCGAAGGCTGGACGGACACTTCTAGATATATTTTTTGCAGTATTAAATACCGCCCACCGATAAAACATCGAATTAAGTTTTTGCAACATTACAGAGTTCTCTGCAGTTTTTTTTTTTTTTACTAGCTCAACAAGAAATACTGATAAATACGCTGAACTTCTAAGCAGTGGGCCCAAATCTATTTAAAAAACTTTTCTTTTATAGGTTGCCAAAAGGTTTTGATTGAAAACAATCCGGCTACGATACAAGTTGCATGGCTTCCAGTTTTGTTTTTGTATATATGCGTAATTTTCATGCGTAAATTTTTAACTGCGCGCGGTAATCCAAAACTACCTTTTTGACTTTTGGCGTAGAGCGTTTTGACGGAGAGCGAAAGCGTAATGTACTATTAATTAAGAAAATAATAATTGCGTAGTTGCGTAGTTGCAAAACGTCCGAATGAATACACACAATTTGCATAATTTTTAAACTTCTATCAGGTAGAGAAAACACGGTGGTCAGCATGGGAATGAAAATCAACCCTACACACGGCACCATCATACACGTGTCTTCAGGACAGCAGACTAAGTACGTCGATTGTTTGTTCAATAATTTTTTTGGCGTTTGATTAGCGAAACTTGGTATTAAAACCTTCAAAAAACTTATTTTCCTTCTCAGCGTATCAGCAACGGGAACTCAAGACGGCACCGGAATGTACATACGTCAAATTGACAAAAACTCCATACAGATTCAATCAAGCAAAGATAATCAGAAACAGGATCTCACCAAAGTACAAAGTACAGCTCAGAACGTGCAAATGATTACAGTGCCACAGGGCATGACCGTTTTGCAAAACCCGCTGAACATAAGTCAAATGCCAACTATGCTTGGACAGCCAAACAATCAAGTTTACATGATTCCCGCTAACCAATCGAATCTAGTCCAAGGAGCATTACAGCCTGGCCTACTTGGACAACAGGTCTTGCAATCCAGTCCGAATGTTACTGTGGTACAGCCAAATCAATTAGGCGTACCCGGAGGCGTACAGTATAATGTTCCAATAATGCCAATGAACATGCCCGCCAATTCGCAATACATGCCAACTGGTTTAAGTTTAAATAATCAGCTATCGGCGCATCAGTTGAATGCGGCCTTGAGTGGCCACCAATTAAACCCTAATTTGGCTGTATCAGGAACTATACCTATCGTTCAAGCACCGCCGTCTTCGCCTTTGACGAATCCACAGATAGCGGCCGGTCACGCGCCCAGTATTCCGCAAATAATGCCGCAAAACTCCTTCATTAACCCCACTTCGCAATATGGGAGTGTACAACAGCAATATATGATGCAAAATTCAGGAGCTCTCACCGTACCCAACAATAATGTGCAATATACTATTCCAAATACAAGTCCTGCGTCTGCAAATAACAGCAATGGACAAACTGTGGTGGGTGATACTGACAATACAAATGGAAGTGGCAATCAGACGACCTACATCACGTCTTCTTCTCAAGACAATGGATATTCGGTACCTGCTGGTACATTACAAGGCTCGCAACAGAATTTCTCCGCTGAAGGTTCTACCGCAACGCAAGGGACGTACACTCCTGTCACACAAGCTAGTACACCGGGCTATGGTTCTACGAACGGGAATCAGGCTGGCTACATCAGTCAAACGTCAACGACACAACCCCCAAACTATCAAACAAACGGCTCGAATCCTCCAACGCCCAATCAAAACTACACCGGCGCAACGTCGAGTCCTCAAACATCGCAATCTAACTTTTCTCCGTCAACAACGCCCGCACCCAATCAATCGTATCCGGGGCAGAATTTACAGAGCATGCAAAACGTCGGTTTTGCGCCAAATCAAAATCCTCAGAATCCTTACCCGAATGCGACTGGACAAAATTTGGCAGCTTATGCGAGTAACCAATACCAGTACACGAGCAGGCCTTGGTTCAGGCCCCGGTATGGTTCCCCCCAGGGCTCCCCGTACAGCTCGGGAGCGGGCCCCCCGCCGAACGGAGCCCCGATGCCAGTGCCACCACCCTCCACCAACTATAACTACTGGCCGGATAGTTGAGACTTGGAAAGTTTTATATTCTTGGAAGACGACCAGTGTTAGGCAGATATATTGTAAACGAGACTGTTTTAACTACATATTATATATAAAATTGAAAAAGATTTAAGAAACATTTATACATAAATTAACATTTATAAAATGTAAAAATAAATTTAGAAAGATTATAAATAGTACTTAAAAACTTTTTGTTTCTTTTTTTTACTTTATGCTTAAAATGTGTTGCTTTTTTTTCTTACGTTCTGTCGTTGTGACAGTTTAATTACGGTTAAAACATTTTAAACTCGTTTTACTTAAACAAAATGAATATTGAAAATCGTTATCAAGTGACGGCTTCCCTGTTCATGTTAAAAGAAATAAAGCGCAGACAAGAACACGTGGATCGGGGCTATGAGCTTTTGAAAAGAAAAGCTGAGGGTCTACGAATTAAAGGTAGACAAGTGGCCTCGGAACTTATCGCAACTCATGGGCTGTTGAGCCATAAAATGAAAGAAGCTTACATGTCACTAGCGGCTATTAAGTTTACAAACGGAGAATCGAATGCATTGGTGCTTGAAAATGTCGAGCAGGTTTGTCAAGTCATATTGTGTATAAATCTGAAGTTGGTCTTCTTTCGATTGGATAATTATTTTTGTTTAGCTTAAATAGGCAGACTAGGCCTAAGGAGAAATTGCGCGATTGCCACTGCCCCTAATTCCTTAGTGTGAATATGTTAGTTATAATTCATATTTCAAAACCGCTCTGTAAATTTCAAAACCATTGTTGTTTCGTAGTAGGTAGTAAAATAGAGTTCATCCATACTACCTGAAGCCACTGCGTTCATCCAAAGTGCGTTTCCAGAGATCTTTTTTGCTGCGTACCATCCATTCCATTCCTTTGGAATGAGCTCCCCTCCATGGTGTTTCCCGAACGCTATTACATGTCCTTCATCAAACGAGACTTGTGAAGAGTACTTAACGGTAGGCAGCGGCTTGGCTCTACCAATGGATGATCAGTGTATACAATAGATGCAGAGATTCGACGCAATTGGGCGTTGCAATAGCATTGATGCGATAGCAAAAAAGTGACGATTTCGAACAATATTTTTCTAATTAATAACTGAATAGGCAATCCTCATTTATGTTTAATTAATCTTCTTCTCCATCGCTCCCTCATTGCTGAGGATCGTGACTCCGTTTTAGCTTGTCGACTGTCAGCCTCCATCGGTTCCGGTCAGTTGCCTGGTGTAGTGCAGCGCTAAGTAGTCCGCTGGTTTGCTCGGAGATCTGGTCGGACCAACGTTTGGGGCTCCGGCCTCTAGGACGTTTTCCTTCTACTTTCCCAGTGACTTAATTATAAACCCGCCAAAATTTTATTTAAAAGCAACTTATTCATTTTGACACTAGGCTCAAATACGTGTTCAGCGAATCACTGAGAATGTCTCGGGTGTCACGACGACGTACTTAGAAGCCATCGAAGAGACAGGTGTAACTAATGCTCTTCAATACGCTGGCTTGGGCGCTGGTGGTCACCGCACAAGTGAGGCAAAGAAATCATTCAGAGAGGCCGTGCATCTTGTATTGAAGCTGGCATCTTTGAGAAAGACCTGCGTACTACTGGACGAAGCTATTAGGATCGCCTGGAGGTGAATCGGCATTATTTTGTGCAGATATTAGAATGGGCTATAAAACCATCGGCTCCATACGTGGTAACTTTAGAGTACAATTAAGGCGTCGGTTTCTTAACTGAAGGTAGGTGACGTCATTGATTTTATAATGGGCTACGATGGTCAGTAGGTATTAAGTATTCGCCTCGACGACCCGTCGATCGGGACTCATCGGGGTGGCTCCGTGAGTCTGGTTGTAGTATTGACCGCAGGAACCTCACTTCTCTGACCAGGCTCTGACCGCGGGAAGAGATCCGACATCGGGTGTGAGAGTACAAGATCACTATTAAGTACGCCCGACTATCTACTGCAACTGGATAAGTATCATCCATTATCTCATTGTTTTAAAACTACTCGTAGTTATCATAAATGGTGCTCACGACATATGTATATCATACGGTTCATATTAATGCCCGTGGTTTATTGACATTCTAAAGTATTTACGGCATGGATACAATTCATGAGAATTCTTTTTATGTATTTAGTTTTTAATGAAAACAATTTTATGCGTAATGTTGCAGAATGCTTTGGTCTCTTTGGCGTCGAACTCGCATTATTTTTCCGTGATGTACCTTCGGCTGCCAGACTTAAACTGGATATTTCTTGTTAAATTGTTTTTAATCATTTTAGTTCCTTCAAAGGTGATGACAACGAAGTAAACGATTTAAATTTAAAGGCGCATTTAGAAAAATCTGTTCTCCACTCTCTAATAACCTGTTTTGTTCTATTGAGTTAATGTTTTTTTAATTATTGTTTTAATTATCACTTTGTAACCCCCCCCCCCCCCCCCCTCAATCAGCGCTATACAAGTAGTAATGGAATTTATAGTAAATTTTCGTTTTCATAGGAAAGTCAATGGAATAGAAAAGGTCATTATGCCTAAATTGCGTAACACAGAACACTATATACTAGTCGAGATAGACGAATGCGTGAGTTCAATTCGATATAAAGATGTTCCTTTTAAAAATATTTGATTTACAATTTATGCTATTAAAACAACAGGAGAGGGAAGAATTTCATCGACTCAAGATGGTAAAAGCTAAAAAGTTAAAAAACAAAGCAATGGCTGTACATAAACCAATTAATCGACAAGGCGGTGGTGAGTCCAATCGTTTAAGCTAGATTTCATTAAATTCCCGTTTTTAGTATTAGATTATTAGAAAGATTTTATCTTTATTTATATAAAAAAATATTTCACGACACAGAAAAGAAATGATTTTTTTTTTATTGCTTAGATGGGTGGACGAGCTCACAGCCCACCTGGTGTTAAGTGGTTACTGGAGCCCATAGACATCCACAACGTAAATGCGCCTCCCACCTTGAGATATAAGTTCTAAGGTCTCAAGTATAGTTACAACGGCTGCTCTTCAAACCGAAACGCATTACTGCTTCACGGCAGAAATAGGCAGGGTGGTGGTACCCACCCCACTTCGATAAAGCGGCACGACACGAGAACCCTCTCATCGTGGCCGCCGGTAACTACATTCCCGATCCTGCGGACAGAATGGAAAGCAGTCGACGTCGCCCAAAACACGTCATCTCGGATCCTCCCGATCCACTAACGGTGCTTTTAGGTACTTCAAGCACCGGTCACCGTTCTCGTCGAACCCGTCGCTTGCGACGAAGGGCTCGACGAGTAAATTAACTCTCAGACACAGCCCACTGAGTTTCTCGCCGGATCTTCTCAGTGGGTCGCGTTTCCGATCCGNGACTTAGTGCGCACGGCGGGAAGTCGTTGGATGCGGAAGGCGGAGGACTGCATTATGTGGCAGGCATTGGAGAAGGTCTATGTCCAGCAGTGGGCAATGTTTTATTCTAAGGTTGTAGATCCCGAAACCCGTCAAGTACTGGGCGCAAATCGTCGTGGCGAAATTTGCCTTAAAGGACCTGTTTTTATGAAGGGTTACATAGGAGTAGACCCTTCAATTTACCTAGACGAGGAAGGTTTCTTCAAAACGGGGGACTTAGGTTATTACGACGAAGACAAATACTTTTACATTGTCGATAGATTAAAGGAAATTATTTCATATAAAGGAGACCAGGTAGGTCAATCCAGTACTTTCCCCATTTTTAGCACTCTTCACTAAGTTGGTCTATCTATGTAACGAAATTTCTGAAGCTAGATTAATTTAAAATTTTGAACTCGTGTCAAAGACCGATGACAAAACAATAATTTTATTACTTTGATCTAACTTTTATCTCGGTTCCTTAATAAAGCGTGTCTTTTTTATTTTTAGGTTTTCTTTTTTCATTGTGATTAATTTGTACCTTTTACTTATTAAATTTATTAAAACTAAACATTGTAATTATCAATGGCAAGAACATGGTATATAATCTAAGGGTCAATATTTCTGAAAACCATAATAAAGAGTATAGCTATTGGGATACTGATTTGTCATAACTTAATTCTAAGTAAGATTCAGAATTTAAAACCGATACTTAAAACAAGTAGCTTTCTCGATTCTTTTTTTAAATCTTATTGCTTTATAGGTTCCACCCACGGAACTAGAGACTGTCCTGTTACTCCATCCTGCAGTGAAAGAGGTGGGTGTGGTCGGAAAACCTCATCCAGAGGACTATGAACTGCCAACAGCTTTTATAGTAAAGCGCCCAGGATTTAATGTTACCGAACAGGAGTTAATTGATTTTGTGGTTGCAGAAGTACGTACCTATTATATATATATATTAGGTTTTGCCCGCGACTTCGTCCGCGTGGAATACGAAGTTACTTTGGGATAACGCTAAATTTCATACTTTCTACGTAAATGAAGAGACGTAGAAAGTGAAAATATTTTTGAATAAAAGAATGTTAAGGAGCTATTTAAGGTACCAAAATCACGCTTTTTAACCAACTTCAAAAGAGGAGGTTATCAATTCGACCACAATTTTTTATCTATGTATGTTCACCGATTTCTCGAGAATACTTGAACCGATTCTGATAATTCTTATTTCTTTTTTTTTTGTTCGAAAGGATAGACTTCCCGAACAGTCCTGTAATCATCAGGATGAAACAAACTCTTCAGCTTATTATAGATAATTTGCCTTTTTCAGGTTCCACCATATATGGAATTAAAAGGTGGTATTCGATTTATAAATGAATTACCAAGAAACCCTAGAGGCAAAATATTAAGAAGAACTCTTCGCGATATGCTTTTGAAAGAACAGTAAAAATAGATATTTAACTGTTATTCAGTAAATAAGTCCTTTAAATTTTTACTTATCGTATTTACATATAATATTGGTATATACAACACATACCTCTATATAGTGTGTACCTCTATATTTACCCCATTAATTAAATATCTTAATTTTTTTTCTATCTTGAAAGAAATTGATTCAATAAAGTTTTGTTTATTAATTCGACAAATTGTTTTCATTCTATTAACATACTTTAAAAGGTACGATGGAAATTTTAGTGATTAGCCTAAACTATTGCCTACACAATAAAGCACAAACAAGAAAAAGGAACATTCGAGAACAAAGCCATTTGCATTGAGGCTTTCTACAAAAATGAAACTCTTTTACCATTTAAATTGACTGGTTCCACCTCGGGGTAATTTAGCTTGTAGATTCTTCCCCGGAATGGTCTCTGTGGGCTGTAATAGCTTTCTTTAAAGAAAATCGAGTTAAGCAGGCGTGATTGACTTAATTGTGGAAAAGCCTGCTTCCCCAAGATTAAAGAATCGCACCGCAGCCTGCCTTATCTAAGCAGATTACTTTACGTGTCATTACGCAGCCTCCAATTTGTATTTATTAAAAATTTAACAATCAATTTTAGATTAACAGATTACTATGCGTAAAGTAATAAATAGTTTTTGTTATTCTTGCCTTTGACCGTAATTACCCTTTCTTGTAAATCAATATTCGAAGGGAGAATATCCGTTATAAGCAAGAGGTATTGTTGCATTTAAAAATTCCGTACAGAATCTTATACCTTTAAACGAGCAATTCTTGTATCTTAATACCTATATATATATATAATCTGAATCTCGGAAACGTCTCCAACGATTTTCATAAAATTTAGTATACAGGGGATTTCGGGGGCGATAAATCGATCTAGCTGCGATTTATTTTCAGAAAATGTTGTTTTATTCGTGTTTTCAATAATCAACTCTTCCCGACCGACATCTATTGGCGAATAATAATACTATTTTTCTTAATTGAGGGCAACTAACCGCTTTAAAGACACAACAAGATGGCGTTATAAAAAAAAACCCATCTACTTTCATTAATACGTTTTCAATTGGAAACAACTTTACCGCGGTGATTTTTTTTAATGAAATTGGACTAGAAAGTCTTCATTAGTCGCTGCCACTTGGAGAATTGAATCGTTTAATCGTAGCGGCAGGGCAGAATAAGCGAGAACACATTGGCGGGGTGCCCGTAATTACGTCGGAGTACCTTTGATACCGTGTGGAAATAGAGCAATTAAGTCCCTTGAGCTCGAGTGTTTGCTTTGATTTTTTATTGCCTGACCCATTGTATGCACTATGTTTTACAATATACACTGACAAAGTGGCCGCAATTATATATAATTAAACTAGTAATTGTGATTTAATGACATATTGTGACACTACTGATGATATTAAAGTGAGTGTATAAAAGCTTATTGATTTTTTTACAAACCCACTTTTTAATTATTGCTTAGATGGGATAATGAGCTCACGGCCCACCTGGTTTTAAGAGACTACCATAACTCTTAAAGAACACAACCTGTATTGTAGTTTTATGTTCGACTATAATTACGAAATGTTCTAGAGGAAAGTTAAGTTTAAACTAGGATCCTCCACAAAGCTAGAAAAAACGGATATGCTCATCTGCCAACTATGCAAAAATATGATAATTACACCCAAAACCGTTGAATGTTTTACAAGCAGTATTACAAAATGTTGTTACTTGTGTTAGCTCCTAATGTAACTTACCATAATTTAGCTCAAAAACGTTTCCTTTGAGCTGCGACGTAACCATTTAGTCTATAGACTCATGGATACGTATACTACGTAGCAAGCTATCGCAGTTTATTTACTGAGCTTTGATGTTACTGCGGACTACGCCAAACCTAGAATATTCTTGGTAAATTTTGATCACTAACTCGTCTCTTTATAAAAAATTTAAATACAAGAAACTAAAATATATTTTTTTCGGATAAGAAAAAACTTCATTTTACTTTTATGTACAATAATTATATACAACTAATCATGCTTTTCAAACAATTAAATACTGTATTATTGTAATAGAAGAATAGTTTTATTTATTTATTAAAACTACATAAGTGAGATTTAAGCAAATTTAGGCAAGGTAGATAATTTATACAAAATAAAAAGTCGATTTGAACCGATTTACATAAAACACCGTTCTTGTTGTTTTGCTTTTTCTTACGTTATCACGCCAGTCTTCTTTCCCCAGAAAATATGAAAGGCCTTGTTGTTACATAATGTATTTATTGTTCTCAAACTCGAAATTTGCACCAAATAGTACTTTTCAATGTGACCGCACTCCCCCACTTTACAAACAGAGTAACGATTAAACTTTTACGACGAAGAATTAATTAGATTTTCCGGTTAGACAATTATAAATTTAATATATTGCTCGTGTACGTGCATGCGTAATGAATAGTAAATTCGAAGAGCTTTATCAAAATTTGCTTGTTTTATGAAGCTGTACACCATTATTCCAAGTATTAGCTGCGGTAGGCAGCGGCTTGGCTCTGCCCCTGGCATTGCTGAAGTCCATGGGCGACGGTAACCACTCACCATCAGGTGGGCCGTATGCCCGTCTGCCTACAAAGGCAATAAAAAAAATAAATAAAAAAAAATATATTTTAATGTCCTAGCGTAGGTAAGTCTGCGTGTCAAAAGCTGTGATCTTAACTTCAGCGTGGACCATTTACTGACATTAATCAAGATTTATATCAGCGTGAGTAAAATAAGAAACAGTTTTCGAGATTGACTCAAACCTGGCCGTTTCAATATATGGTTTCGTAGCTTTTCGATTTCTTATGTAATATTTAGGCCTCGAAGTATGGATGTATTGTTTCGACCCTTTATCTACGGTATACGCAGTAATCATTTCCAGTGTTCCTTTTTACGATTTTTATTTATTAGATACATGCGATAGTTAGGCCAAATACACTTTACTAGAGTATGCCGTAATGGCTATCTATGGTCTAAATCTAAAAATCTAAATCTAAAAAAACAGATAGAGATTGAATACTTATGAAATTCCATATTTCAGAGTCGTAAAAAAATATTATGAACACCTACAAAATAATCAATTTATTTTTTAACTTCAGGATAATTGCTATTTGCCAAATACGGCCAAATTTGTTACCGCGTGTCATTCTAGCTAGTTCTAATATCCCGAAAACGTAAAAGAATGTCATATTTCACACACCAGTGAAGTTCGGTTTGTAAAACGGACTTTTTATCTAGCTAATCCATTAACAGATCTTTGGATTTTATGAATCGATTTGATGACCGATATCGTTTTATCGATCCCAACAGTGAAAGAACTCAAGTAGAATAAGAGAAACATTCTCTAATTCACCATTTGAAAAGATATTCTTCTCCATAACATACTTTGTATACGATAAATAGATAATTTCCAGCTGCACAAATTAAGAAAGATTACATTACGCTACTGAAACAAATACAATAACACCTCGCTTCGACAAACATCAATTAACATGCTATGCTCTGTAGGACCAGAACAAAAACCGTGTAATAAATGTCATCTATTATGATTCGACGAAGCGTCGTCATCTTGTCTATTACAATTAACATATTTTTTTTTTATTTTTTTTTTATTGCTTAGATGGGTGGACGAGCTCACAGCCCACCTGGTGTTAAGTGGTTACTGGAGCCCATAGACATCTACAACGTAAATGCGCCACCCACCTTGAGATATCAGTTCTAAGGTCTCAGTATAGTTACAACGGCTACCCCACCCTTCAAACCGAAACGCATTACTGCTTCACGGCAGAAATAGGCAGGGCGGTGGTACCTACCCGTGCGGACTCACAATAGGTCCTTCCACCAGTGGTTACGCAAATTATAATTTTGCGGGTTTGATTTTTATTACACGATGTTATTCCTTCACCGTGGAAGTCAATCGTGAACATTTGTTAAGTACATATTTCATTAGAAAAATTGGTACCCCGCCCGCGGGATTCGAACACCGGTGCATCGTAACAACGAATGCACCGGACGTCTTATCCTTAAGGCCACGATGACTTCAAAACAAAGAAACAAAGACGTTACTGATCGTCTGCGTTGCCGTTTAATTAACTAAGTAGCCCCTAAACGTGGTGAGAGTTGAGACGGTCATCACACCCCACTGCCCGACGCCTGAATAAGTAAATGTAATAAAATAAATCCGCAAAGCCGCCATAACGCCTCGGATTTAACATGGCTTACAGACGCTTACAAAGGTTGCAAAACGCCTCTCCGTACGCCTTTCGTATTGTCATAAGAGACAGGATATTATTATAAATATGAAGGTTGATTTTGTAAAAAAATGTTTTTTAATGATGTTCGACTGCATGTAGTTACTCACATTTATTTATTTTTAAGTAGAACAAAATATATCTGTTGCTTATTTCGTTGTCACTGTGAACCTCATTTTAAGTGATAACCATAAAAAACCCAAAAAAAGACCGCTGTTACGTCTGAGACATCAAACTAAAGTCTTGATTTCATGAGAATAGCCACTATTGAGTTGGTGATAATACCTATGTACATTATCAACTGCCATATATTTATAATGTTACAATAAAGAGACTGTTTTCTTTATATGTACTATTTGTATTTGTATTTGTACGCGTTTCTATAACATTGATAATACAATCTAAATTTGGTGGTTACTGAGAAATTCATATATAATTTGACGTCGTTTGTATTATTTACTTAACATTCAAATTATGTCAATTTTTAAATGGCCAGCACTTGATCGTTTGACATAAACTGTTACTGTTTAAGCATATCGGGTTCAGTAATCGCTTGCTGTATGCAGTATTATGATAAAGTTGAAAGGTTACGTGTTCGTTGATGGTGCAAACTTCGAGCAATTATGGAGCATCAAGTTTAATGAACCGAACGCTACAGTCTCGAGGATATCAATATTACTTTGTATATTAATATCCATTACTATAAATAATAATAATAATAAATAAATATTTACTAATAATCACGCCACGTTAACTGGTCCCGCGATAAGTTCGTAAAGAACTTGTGTTACAGGCACCAGATAACGGATATAAATGTAAGATTTTTATTATACACATACATATATTTAATAGACATCCATAACCCTGGAAAAGACATTTAT